TATATATTCCCCTTCCTTCTTTTTTTTTTTTCTTTTTCTTTACTGTACTTATCGTCTTTGGTCACAGATGACCATGCCCTTCTTTTTTTTTAAGAACTAGTTCCACCCTCACAATGTTGATTTGTTTCCACAACTATTGTCTACAAGTATCAAGCGACAATAAAAATAAGATTGCAAATGTTAACGGGCATGGCTTACTGGGGAAAAAAAAGGGTTTGTTTCCAAGAACCAATTTTACATGGCATTTGTTTTGATTTGAAGTGACGAAACGTTCAATAAAAGTTCAGAAAGGTTCTAATAACAAAAAAAAGTCCCCAACAATAAAACAATAACTCCTTACCTACATAAAGATAAGGAGAAAAACTATGCTAGGATCTGTTGACCCCTTTGGTATGTGACTGTTAAACCCTTTTTACATACTAATGGTGGAGTGATTTTTCAGTTTTTATCTGGTAATATTATTTATTGAAAGATCTAAAATATTTATTTTTAATTTCTCTACACATACCAGTTCTATGCTGATGCTAAATTCAGCACTGCAACCAAATATCTTTTAAAGAGAAAAGGGCTACACAATAACAGGAAATTTTAATTCGTTGTGTGTAAAATAATAAGCAAGTTAACTTCAAACTAAATTATTTCAGCAAAATTGAATTTAATGATATATATTTGTGCAACTTATAATTTACAAATTCAAAATCCATGCATTTTTAAATTATAAGATTCCAGTTTAAAATCACCTCCCTAAAAATATGTAAAAATTAAGGAAGTTCTTACAACAGATTTTCCATCGCTGCCTAACCCCTTTATTTGCAAAGATTCTGCAACTTCCAGAAAAGCTGCCAATCTATCTTCACAAACTTCTACTTCTCCTCTGTACATAAAATTAACAGCAGCTTCCAGTTCTTGAAATTTCACATCTTTGAGAACGACTATTGGATTCTTCTCACTCTCCTGACTAAATAATAACTAGAAAGAAAAACAAAAAAATATTATAAAATGAAAATAGAAGAGACTACTCAGTCTATTACCCAACCACATATCTGCCTGTTTTGAATAACCTTAAGCAGCAGGAAAACAAGTACAGAATAGTTAACATACAAAAAGATTTTTAAATATTAATTTTTTAAAGAATAACTTAAGACAAAATTCTGACACACAAAAAGCAATGAGGTCTAGTCAAAGTTTACAATACATTCCAGGTACAGTGTTTATTTAATTTCTCTGTCAAAACTGATTTCCATAGAAGCCATCACATACTAAGTTTTTAATTATTTTTAGACAATTCATTCAACGAGATAACTAACTAATGTAGATTTGATCCGCTGAGATTTTTATGATCGTTACTATGATTTGTACACAAGATCTGTTGATGTAAATCAGCTGTTATGATGTTATTGAATCGGGAGCTTAGATGACACTACAGTAGTGATGTTTAAGCTCCCGATTGGATAACACCATAACAGCTGATAAAACATCGACTAAATAAATTGAAGTATAACTACATTTGAAAATATTTTCAGTGCATATAGAACTAATCAAAAATAATAAATTTGCCAAATCTAATAATTGGAGCCCCACTTTCCACGTTCTCTGGCCATCTTAAAGAGTCAGCTGTGTTTATAATTGTTTTCAACTTGCTAAATCTATTTTTTGATTGCCATCTATCTCTAATTTTTGACCGCAACTAATATTGCCCTTCTTCTAGAAGTTGATAATTCAAAACTAATAAAATAAAGTAAGTAATCAAGAAATTCTGAACATTTTTTTCTCACTTCGAAAACGAAATTTTCTTAAAATAGAATACGAGGAACAAAGCTACTAGCTCTTTCACTGTAGCTCAGCTATTGTAAAGAGCCTGCTACTCCCTAGTGTATAAAAAAATAATTCAAGAATAGTTTTTTTTTTTTTTTTAACTTAACCTTAGCAAAAACAACAAAGAAAATGGAATATTAAAGGTTTAGCTGGAATATAAATAATTTAACCACAAAAGTTTACAATAAACAGTTTTTCTTATAAATAAGAATATATTCTTACATACAATACATTGTTACTATTTATAGTGAAAAGTTAATTTGAATGTGAAGAACAAAATTAAAAACAAGGAAAAGACATGATAAACTATACAAATGAGCATGGCTTCTAATGAAATGTCATTAATTAAAACACAATCTAACAATTGTAATGTTAGAAAGAGCATTCATATTTACTTTAATTTTTTGAATTTTTTATTATATGTATTACTTATTCATTTTTCTCGACTAAATAATTGCCTAATACTTTACAAGATTCCACTTTAATCTGGAGCCTGTGCACATTTTACAAGTGCAACATATCACAAAATTATGATCCCTTTTGCATGTAATCCACCAAGAAAAGACTTGTATGATTTATACGATGCAATCAAGAAAACACCAAAACAGGGCAATTGATGGATAGGGAAATACCCCTGAAGGGTGCATTCAATTAATTCAATTGGTTGATTGCAGCAGATATTGCTTTTTTGAACTCGCATGATCTCATTTTGTCTTCTGATAAGCCCACAAAAATACATGAGCCATAAAAATCTCGTAAGAACATTGGCTTCATTCACTGATTTAAATACTGACAGTCACATTCTTCAGCTGGTTCACATATGAAAGCATCTCAAATTTGCAAGAAAATCTATTAAATCTCACCTCAAAATATGAACTGCAAGCAGAAAGCACAACTTTATGGGCCTTGACATATTGACCATCTGCGGCCAGAGTACAGTCTACTAAAGTATTCCTTTTCAAAAGATTCTCAAAAACAGACACCAACGCACCATTGTGATCTTTCCAACTTAAATGCAGTTGCTGAGGTGACATTTTCAACCTGAAAAACAAGAAACTATAGTAATTACGTATTCAAATCACTAAGAACTTCAACCCATTAGAGAGCAGATCCCATGAAATATGAATACTGCAGTAATACAAAGGAATAGGAAAACAATTCAACAAAATATGAAATTGAAAGAAAAAAAATATACCAATGGTAAGTTTCAAAGTGAAGTTGTTACTCAATGTGCAGATCAAATGTGGCGGTTGATCGGAGAAACCTGAGACACATGAGAACTACAAAACTTTAAAATTTTGAGCCCACAGTACAGTTTTCGTGCAGATTCTCATACAGTTTCAGTACAGATTCTTCAACATTCCAAACTGGAAGTTAAAAAAAAAATGTTTAAAATATTAGTGTCCTAACACGAACAGAAACAGGGCATATAACTCCCATATAAGGTGATGGGGACCATCCATTAGAGGGGCGCGCTTTAGAGCATCACTTAAAACACTCTCTGAATCACGTTCTTACACGAACTAAAATATGAACTGCTACCAACGTTATTTCAAAGATGCGTGTTTTCTCCGGACGCAAACACACGCGCTTGACACAAAAGATCGCGCCGCTGTTCGCGCTAGCTTTTCTTTCATGTATGTATTATCATGAATAAATGAATTTTAGAAGATAAACACAGAGTATTTAACTTCTTTTGTAATGTATTTCAGAAATCGCTCATAATCAAAGTGTATTCCTATTTCTTAACCAATTTTTTTGTGCGAAAGTTGGCGAGTCTTACCACCAGCTGTATCTGGCGATACTAGCGCATCCTATAGAAGCAACCTCTAGCTTCAGCTTGAGTTCTAGCTTGGTCCCCAATTTTGATGGAGAGTTGCCGATCCCTGAACAGGAGGTTATCCAAAGCTGCACTCTGTTGCACTTGATTTTTGAAATGTTAATCTAAGAGATTACATTTCATCTCGACGGTCTTACAGTCCAATTAATTTTGTCGTGTACTTGATGTAAATAAGCTGTTGAGGTTTGACCCAATCGGAAGATTATATGTCCCTACAGAGACGTCACTATGGGGACGTTCTGGCTCCTGATTGGATAAAACTGCGAACACGGATTTACGTCATGTGCATGGTTAAATACACCCTAGTATACCAGAGTGTTCTAAATGTAATGAGTAACTTTATAAAGAACTCTCATCTTGACACTCATTTGTGATATGCGATTTTCGGATAGTAAAGATTTCATCCGATAGAGAGGAGACTCACGCAATTTTGTATCCGAAAATCGTAACATCAATTATTTTATATTTCTTAAAAGAAAATAGTAAATATTTTAATGGGCTGGCATAAGACAGAAAAAAATAACAGATTCGGCAAATATCGGAAAATTTCAAAAATCATCGTTACATCGCACTAAACTAATACCCCGAACTTAAAAGATTCATCTTGGCCCAAAAATGGAATTAAATCGTGAACATTTTCTTGCGATTATTTTTTACAACTTCTATGTGGATTAACTTAGCAACAGTGCCTGGATGAACTTAATTCAATTTTTGGCGATGAACCTACATCAAGGACCAGTGTTTATCGATGGTATGGTGAATTAAATCGTGGTCGTAGTTCACTCCAAGACAAATTTCGCGAAGGTCGTCCAAAATCAGTTGTTGTTCCGAAAACCATTGATGTGCGTAAACTGATATTGCAAGATCGTCATGTGACCTATCGTGAGATTGAGACAACCTTAGGCATTAGTGGGACCAGCATACATTCAATGTTGCATGAACATTTGACTGTCAAAAAATCTATGACATCGTGGCAGGTGATGAACCGTGGATTTACGCATATGAGCCCGAAAGTAAACAGCAGTCGACTGAATGGGTGTTTCATGATGAGCAAAATCCAACAAAAGTTGTTCGCGCACCAAGCACTTTCAAACACAATGTCGCCTGTTTTTTCGAAAAAACTGGACATGTCCCAACCGTACCACTAGAACAACGCAGAACAGTCAATTCTGAGTGGTACACAACGATTTGTTTGCTAACTATCTTCCAAGAAATCAGGAAAACCAACCGCCGAAGACGGATCACTCATCACCACGACAATGCGAGCTCT